CGCAACCGTCGCGAGCTCGTTTCACAGAAGTGCCGTGCTACGACAAAGTGACTCGTCAACAACTTTTGGAAATAAGTGAATGTTCTGGTATATGCTGTACTGTCATTTATAACTTTCTGAATTTATTTTCTGTACGTGTGTTTCTATTCGTATCGACGTGAATATGATTTTTCAGTCATGTTTTACTTGAAATTTTACTTGAAGCTCGTTACCACGGTTCCGCTAAATTATTTTCATTTTTGCATTCTTGATATCTGCATTTTTATCTGTTTTACGTGATACGATGGATGCGTGTATTCATACACACCTAAATACTCAAACTGTGCATTTTTTATGATGCATTAGATGTAAATAATAATTGGTGTGTCACGTGTGCAGTCACTCTTATTAATATTTGGACACTCTTTAGAACAGTGTAACTTTTTTTTTAAATTGGCCTGAACGACTGGAGTTTTTTTTAGAAGTTAGAAGGATTAGTTTACTAGACGACGGGTACGAAAAAATTTGGAAAAATTGCAATTTGTGTGTGTTTAAAATTAACAGCTTACGTGAAAATTTTAGTATTAACCCTTTGCACTCGAGAGGCGACTGAGAATCGACATTAACCCTTCTAATTCCACGGGCTGATTTGGGTTCGTTTGATTTATGTATGAAGGATCCTTTGATATCGGCTTAGTTGTAGCAAATTTCTAGTTACTGTGGAAATTTCATCTAAATATCTAGAAAAATGCAGGGACCAGAAATTTTTCAGTAAAATTTTACATATTCTTGCCTCTCCTGTGGTATTTTAACAATACTAAATAATTGATTGAAGCCCTGTTGAAGCTAATATTTTTCAGAAAAGCAGGTCTATGGACCTTCGTAAATTGTAAAATTGCATATGTTAGAGGTCTAATTATAAGCAATGAAATAGTTTGATAGAACCCAGCTTCTAATGAACTATTGCAAATTCTTGTATAATATAAAAATATACAGTTTATGTCTAAGTGAATTTTAACAAATTTCATCAATTTTATTCAGCAAACAATCACCGATTAGTTACTTCCCTCTAGCAAAAACATTTTCCAGTGCACAGGGTTAAATCCTCGCTCCCCAGAAAAAGTAAGCCTACCAATTCCCATCCAAATCCACCTGAAATAAAAATAACACCCCTCCGAATTGAAAACCGTCAAAATCCAAGAAGATTATCCAAAAATCATCGTCATGAATCAATCTACCCTCGACAATGCCTCTGCCAAAGAAAAAAGAGCAACAGAGCTCTCTGTTCAGGTGCACCCCAGCCCTTCGAAAAAGTCAAAGCTCTCCCCCCGGTTTGGTCGAAATTCCGCGCTCACGATGGTCCCACGGACCGCTCTCCCCCAGAGGCGTCGTCGAATCGCGACGGTTGGATCGGATTCCAGGACGTTTCACGAGGGGTGAGAGACGACGAAAGCACTTGGACGAGTGCGTGTGGTGGAAAGGCGAGGGACAGGTGTCCGGCGAGGGTGCGTTCACGGTCTAACGATCGGGAACCAGACGCCTTTTAACGCTCCCCTTCCATCGATGCAACGACGTGCCGGTGAACGCAGCCTTTTTCCAACTACGAGCCGGACACCTTCGATTTTTAGGCGGAACACGCACACGCGTCTCGCCCTAAACGTCTACCTACACGTGCATCTCTGTGCGTGCGTAGGCTCACACGTGTCGCGCTAAATCTAGCGTGGAAGGGTCTGAGGATTTTTTCGAAGGGAGGCTAAAATCGCGCTCGGTTGCGACACTCGGCTCTATATATCACTTTTACGATCTCACAGAACAGTTTTCGATTTGAAAATTTCATTCTTTTTCCGAGCTGTGGTTGTGACTACTCAAGACTACCGGTTGAGGTTAGGAGGTCTTGTTAGGTTTGGGAGAAATTGAATTATACTCACGTCTTGATGGTTCATTATTCGCTGGAAAGTTTGTTGGAGGTTCTGACTGGAGTTTAGGTGTTACTGGGTGCGTGCAGGGTCTGGAGGAAGCTTTAGGAGTCTTGGAGGAAACGGGAGACCTGACGGTGATGATTTTGTGTTAGTTGGGTTTATGGAGATTGTGTAATAGTTCGAGTGTGACTCTGGGGGATTTTTCAAGTGTTTTTGGTTGCGTTGGGAGAAAGAAAGTTGTTCTTATTTGATTGCTTGTACGGGGTAGATTTTAGTGTTTACAAAATTGAAGATACTTTTCTGTCGCACGTTTTGAGACTTTTGTTTCAAATTTTGGGAATAGGTTATTAACCACCCTGTGTTGTATGCCGATGGTAACTTTTTAACCCTCTATAACACTGTGTGTCTTGAAAATTACGGATTTATTTATGTATATTTTGTAGTCTCGTTTTGTTTGTTTTTTTTTTAATATTTTATTATTTATTCTTGCTTTTCTCATCAAAATGTAAAAATGCAATCAACCTTCTCGTGAACGAAGAAAAATCAGGTTACAGAGGGTTGAATAGTATTATAATATTACCTACATATTTTTTAAGTAGTACTATATATTAATTGATTAAAAAATGTGACTTTTTGATATAGATAGTAGCATTTTTTATATAGTATTGATAAAGACGTTGGTCAATGTTTCTTACTAATTAATTCGATAAATATTCCTGTTACCGGATTTACTCTTCGTTTTAACAAAAATAAGCGAAAAAACGTACATATTAACTGCAATAATTGATACACTTTTTCTTCAACGACATCGAACTACTTTAAAAATTACAAATTCGTTGTCAAAACCATTTACGTTTAATGAAGTTAGTGAGAAAAATTAAAAATATTAGGTCACTTGATAAATTCGTACCGAAAGCGAAAAATATCTAAATGAAAATCCAAGAAAATTCTACAGCGACGACATAATGGTGTTACAAAAACAGAAAATATTGAAAGAAATTTGGATCTATAATTAGAAATATTGATCTAAATTATAAAATTCGATAGGCACTTATGGAATGACCTAATGCAATTTGAACGTGAAATACCTAAAACAGAGATGAAAATAAGGTAACTGGTGCACAAAGTTAGAGACTTACCCAATCACGTGTGGTACATCGATGGAGTGAGAAGAGGCCCGTTTGCGATCACCAGCCATATCGGCGAGTCTAGCGAAATCTGTATCCTGATCAGCCAGCCGGGCGCTCTTACGTGACTCGAGCAACCTGACCTCGTCTATACGTTTGGTCAACCTCATCGTCTGCAACAGGATAAACGTAGCCGCGTAAGATGGAATGTCATACCCCAAAATTTCAGTTTCTCATATTATAGAAGCACGGTAAATCCTACTTATCCGTGATTGCACAGGAAAGTTTCGATTAAACGTAACCCCTTTGCACACGCGGCTTCTTCCTCAGGAAGGCGTTAACGCTCTCTTTTATGGAGAAATAGACATTCACAGAAATTGTTATTATTACAATTTCTTTATTTTGATATAAAATACAGTGTGTAAATATTGAACGAAAGTCGTTTTTCGAGTGCAAAGTGATCATTCCAGACGTTTAAAACCTCTAAAAATGTTCACAGAAAAGTTAGAAATTTTGGAAAGAAAACGAAGTAAATGGCTATTAATCCCCAAAATATTAATTACAAATCTAGAAGAAAATTGGTAGCAAATTTAATATTCGTGTAAATTGAAATGTGATCCAGAATTTTTGGAAAGTACCATATATCACGGAATTCTGATTAAATACCGAATATTTACAACTTTCACAATTAAATTCTATTATTTAAATAGAGAACATTTGTACGTTAATATTATACAAAATTTAGGTCAGGCAATCTTATTTCCAAAAACAAAAAAAATTAACGACACTGTCGGCTTTATGTCAAAGCCATAAATGTGCAAAGTTTCACTTTTTGGGCAATAAAGTGGACCAGATGTGACCAAAACAGAAGGAAGATCCAATTAAAAATTATTTCACAGTTAAATTCAAGTCTCAAGCGAAGGTCAATATTTGCAAGAAAATTCAGAATATTCTGTTCTCCAGAATTATCTCGTTACATTCTGCGTTCAGTTGCGAATTTCCATAATTCATCGAATGGATTCACGAGGGAAACGACATTACCCTGAAACATTCGAAATCCGGAACAAAGTTAAAAAAAAAATCATTGTTGGAATAACTGGTGAAAAGGTCCCATCCCGGTTGGTTCGCGGGAGAAAGCTTGAAATTTCAAGCGGCCGCGCACTTTCTCCCAGATCGGCTGGGACGTTTAATCGCGCCGTCGCGGTGATTACTTCCTCGTAATTACTCGGCTCGCGAGCAACATTCCTGCGCAAGGAGCGAGGAGGAGCCCTGAGAGACACACGTTATTCATACGCGGGTTGCATCAACTTGCGTTCGTTGCATTTGCAATTTTATTTACGTTTCCCTTCTTTCCGTGACTCGACTCGACTCCATTCGTCTCCATGCACCAGAACCGCCGGCAACAGACAATTACGACAGAGACTTCTTTCGCGGAGTTCAGGCCAATTCTGAAGTCTGCGCGAAAGTGGCCTAACTCTTACGTATTTTTCGTTTTGAGAAATTTTTGCGATTCCTTTATTTTCGGTGAATTATTTTCAGAATTTCAGAGTTTCTATGGCGACGGTTCGGAAGCTGATAGAAAAATGGCGAAAGGTCGTCAATGATAATGAAAATCATCGATTTATACATGTTTTAATACAGAAATAATTTAATATTAAAGAAATACAGTAGTGGCGTTTCTGCAGGACACCGAAATGAAGTTACAAAGTTACATGAACATATTTCATCGTAGAGAAATATCGACAGTGTTAATCTTCCTTTGCGAGTAATTTATGTGACCATTTACATAAGAGTATCATTTTAACAAAAGCACCAATGTTAAATTCGAAGTGTCTAATTTAATTCCACAGGGACTTAAATCATATACTTTGGCAGTGTTCTTCGATTAATTCCCACAGCATTGATCTAATAAAAGATTTGAGGAAACACAAGCTTAACCCTCCACTGAACACGAAATCACTACTTTCCATAATTAAATTTTCTACAGTTGTCAATTTGAAACCTCAAGTACCTCAAAAAATAGTAAACCAACGATATAAAAATTATGCATACAAGTTAATATAAAACCACATAACTCTCTATATCAAATTTTTCTTGGGATCACTAAAAAAAAAAAAACACCTCCAGAAGAAAGCGTACAAGCAAAAAGGAACGTCTTTAATTAGTAATAGTGAACGCGTTGATAATTCCATAAGAATTGCATAATCGACAACTAGCGAAGTAGCAACGAATCGAACCTCCAGTTACGTAAATCTGGTCCTCCATTACCTCTCTCTCTAATCGCAATAAAACAAACAAACCGCAAGACCAGATATTATTCGTGTAATTACTAGCCTCGGATTGGACACGAAGAAACGAACGAAAGAAAGAAAAAAAAATCTGAGGAGCGCTTGGTTATTGACGATAATGAGAAACCACCGAGGAAAAGACACGCGTGAACGTGTTTGCCGGTCGCGAATTCCTCGTTAGGGCGTTCACGCTGGAAGAAAAAAGAGAAAAAGGTAGGAAAAAAGGTTGAAAAAGAGAGATATAGTGGACTCGCGATGTTGGTCCACTTTGGAGTCCTTTTTAAGGCTTCTCTAAGGATAGAGACCAGAAGGTGAACTGGAGCGTGCAGGCCGAGGGAATTCTAATCGACGCGTTAAACGCCTGGGAAACGAGCTAATTGATTACTATTAAACGTCGTAATAATAGGTGTGCACAGCATAGACACGGGTTACACCGGTGCTCGCCGGCCGGGGGACAAGATCGCCGGACCGATCCGGCGGTTTTTCCTCGAGGAAATATCAGGTGAAAAATACTGGTACTGTTAGCCGTGATGGATACTCGTTTAACGAGGCTTCGACTCCGCTTGGGAATGTTTTCAGTTGTTGCCCCGCTCGCGAGAGGGATTCGTAAGCGAAAAATCTGCTGTTTTTTTATTTATCTATTTCGAACTCTTTGCTGCGTAAATATTAGCACTATTTGTTGAACGTGACACGAACCTAAACACTCACTTGAAAATTGCAAAAGATCCCTACTACGTGTATCTACACTTCCGTGGAAAAATATTTGGACACAATTAGAAAATTTACGTTGACAAATTTCATCGTAGAGAAATATCGAGAATATCGAATTGAAATGAACTTCTCCACAAAATATTTATGAACTGTTTCTACAGTTTTCCTGTTAAATTTCCCAGTTGTACAGTCGAATTTCGATAGACGATTATTTTTAAGAAATTTTTAGACACTTTGCGAAGAGTTAGCATGGAGAATGAATCAGTGAACGCGATTTCTATCGAGACGCAATAATGCAAAGACGATTTCAATGGGCCGAAATCCGGATAAACGCGCGGACCCGCCTATTTCAGGGAGTTAACTTCTCGAGCGAATTTTCACGAATGCACCTTCCCGGTGGAGGAACGTCACATTAATTTCCGGTAAATCCCACGATTAGCCGGCTCTCGGCCGGTTATCGAGACCGGCCGAATGGCGTTTATCAGCGGTTAAATCAGTCGACCGATCGTCGATCGGGAACCGACTCTGATATCGCGGTAACAAGACGATCCGTCTCGCCAGTTTCGACTGCCTCGATTAAAAACCTGTCCCTTCTCGTCCCGCGGCAAGATAAACACCGTAGAAACCGATGGAACGACGCAAAAAGCTCAGTACTATCGGGCTGTGTTGTTATTTTCAATGTTTTTTTCCGCGAATTCGGTATCCAACAATTTGTTTCAACGAGAAACTGTTTGTTTGTTTTGTAGTGAATATCTGTGTGTATGTGAGAACAATAGCATTCTTCGCGAATGAATTATTTAACCCTTTTACAATGTTACGAAATTTCGAGGTCATGTGTTCGCGTATTTGTATTTTATTTATTATTGTATCTATTATTTTATTTTGCTATTATACCGATGCATTGTCACGAAATAATTTATTCAAAATAATTGGTAAATCTCAATTCTCACATTAAAATGAAATACTGTAATTAATCGCAAGTTTTCTTACTTCTGAGCAGAGAATATATAATTATAACGAGTTAAAGTAATTTCTGTGAGTATAGGAAGAAATACTGAATCTCATGCTGGACACGAGGTCAGTTCAAGATGTATCTGAGGAACTGGTTGGTTCCAACAAAGGAATGTCATAATCTTTAAATAATTGCAAATAAATCAGAAGAGTGAAGGAACCATTGAAAAATTCCATTTATTCATCACCCTAACAATCCACTTCCAGTGAACACCCTATTGTACTCGAACAAGACAAAAGCATCCCAATAAAATTGAATACCTGAGAAGAAGAAGAAGAAGAAGGAAACTTCGATTATGAAGTTTCAAATAATTTTAGCAAATAAGCAACTATCTGTATCATAAAAAAATTGTGAAATCTTTTCCTTCTTCTCACAGATTCAATTATTTCCAATAGCAGCAATTCCCAAGCGACAATTTTCAAATAATTTTCTCAAATAAAAAACTACCTATGACATAAAAAGAAAATTGTGAAATCTTCCCTTCTTCTCACTTATTCAATTATTCCCAAGTGACAATTTTCAAATAATATTCTCAAATAAAACACTAACCGTTACAAAAGAAAATTGTGAAATCTTTTCCTTCCTCTCTCACATTCAATTATGTTCAATACCAACTATTCCCAAGCGACAATTTTCAAATAATTGTCTCAAATAAAAAGCTAACTGTTACAAAAAAAAAAATTGTGAAATCTTTTCCCTCTTCTTCTCGCACATTCAATTATTCCCAATAGCAACAATTCCCAAGCGACAATTTTCAAATAATCTCCTCAAATAAGAAACGGCGAAGTACCACAAAAACAATTGCGAAATCTTCTCCTTCCTCTTCAACGCTGATTCAATTATTACCCATCTAAAATGATTCAAAAACCGCTGAAACATCAACGAAACGTGCTCGTATCCGGAAACGTTGAACCGCGAAGAAAACGATCGAAACCAACCGGGCAGACTGTTTACCCGTGGCAACGTCGTCATTATATTCGCATTATCGTGCCTCCGGCTGGCGACTTGCGCGTGCACAAGTGCATCCGCCGTGCGATCTGAACTCTTGGAAAAAGCGTTCACCGGGTCCGCCACGATCTGAAACCCGTCGAATTTATTCGCTCATACGCACTGCACGCGCTCATAATTGCGCGGAACGTGTAATATAGAGGCTGCGCGCAAC